TTCAATGACCTTGAACATCGCCGATAAAGATGGGGGAAATTGCTAAATAGGCAGTCACCGAAAGGTATCTCAATTTTTTTTCATAACTTCTGCACCTAAGGAATACCTGTGGCCTTTGAATTCGTTTCTGATTAATCCATCTCCATACTGGTCCAAAATCTTGGCTGATGCGTTGTTGTAGGAGCCATCAGGATATGTGCTGTTGGCAAGTGACGCATTAATATAAAACTCACATCCCCGAACCGAGCGGAGACCTGGGTATTTGTTAGGGGGAAACAATACGGATCCGAGGAAAACCCACGTGGTTAGAGCAGCACCGGTGAACACACCAAAATAGGCACCCTGCAATTGATATTGAAATGGTTCACATCGTCTACTTCAGATGTTGACACGATCCCTTATTTTGGCAAAGCCCATTCAGCCAGATGCTTTGCCGCACGAAGTGCGCAAGGTGTGATTCACAAAGCGAGCAATTTCTCTCGGCGAGTAAATTAACTTGCTGCGTAGTTGAAGCGGCACGAGACTGAAGCATTGCGCAATCAAACAAGTGCTGTTATTGGGCGCTTTTCTATTGAGTGTCGTAAAACCAAAACCAAAGTGATCGCAACGACCAATCAAAAGAAAGGAAAGTGCTTTCAAGAGCCAATGAGAGCTTAGAGTAAAAACAACCAACTGCCTGCAGCGCGGAAAAACGCAGACTACCAAGTCGCGATTGGTTTTACTTTTCCATCTGATTGGCTGAGAGAGCGGCACGAGTTTTACAGACCAATCACAAAGCGAAGTAAAGCAAAAACAAAGCAATTCCACATTTTTTGGATGCTAAATTGAATATTCCTCAATTACACAGGGCAAGCTTGCAACGCTCGCTGGTGTTGTTACGTAATCATGCTTATGTCCTAAGAGACAGTGTGTCAGCATACCTTTGAGTTTGCGCGTGGAACAAACATTCCAAGGAGAAATATTCCTAGCAATGGACCACCACAGATTCCGAAGATGCTGTAAGCCAACTAGATTGAAATAGCAAGGACAGTTGAACATAAATTGGAGTTTACATAGAGATTTTCGCAAGAGACTCTCGATCTATGTTGAGTCAGTGAACAGATGGCCAG